CAAGAAAAGAACATACTAACAGATAGAAGAGGAAAAATGAAAGAATGAGGCCTCCTCTCAAATCCACGTCAAAGAATTACAAGACCACAACTGGGAGCACACACGAATAATGATGTCACGAATTTCCCAAAACGCCCTACTTATTATGGGAGAACTTCATTTTCATCAACAAAGGTCTCCCAAGATGATTTTCATGTTATTAAATTAAGCTAGAGGTTTTTATAATAATCATCCATAATTTAAAGGTTGCCAATGAAGCTAAAGGCCACATTGACAAAAACTTTTGATGTTTTATGAAGCAAAAGCATAGAGTAGCCCACAATCACAATGTGTAACTGGAAATCATCCGAATAAGATAATTAAGACCCAACTCCATTTAACCGAAAAAAGTCCTTGCATCCAACAAGTGAAACCTAAATATGTTTGTTAACCAATGGGGAAAAAATAATAACAAAAACCCAGATTGGTGACAAAAAAAGGTTATCAAGATCAATGTTGGCTAGCAACATACACCTGTCTGCGAATGTAATGATAAGTGGGTTTTTTTTCTATATGTATACATATCTGATACTAGCTTTCTTGTAAATCGTTTCAACTAGGCCTCCAAATTACATAAATATATGCCAAAATAAGTTCTTTCAAGATAGTAAAGTGAGAATTTATAAGAGAAACAGCCACCCATATCAGTAGTACACAACCTCAATCCTTTACCACTAATCAGCACTCTAATCTAAATTTGAGAAACAGCCATGTAATGTTAAGAGACTTTTAAATTTGTATCAAGTGGTGGCATATATATCACGTGCATTATGCAAGTTCCATCAGTTGCAGATTAAGCGATAGTACTATAAAGAATAGTTTTATAGCAGGAAAAAAGTCCACGGCTACAAATGATTTGAGGATGTAGTAGGAAGTCAAAAAATTATTGTTGTCATGGTAAATCAGTGTAAGACCAATAGATATATGATCAGATGTTCAAGTATTAAAAATTCCATATCTACAAGAAAGCAAAGCCACACCTTGAAACAGAAAAGGCGACCAAGATCAACGGGTTGAAAAATATTGTGGCATCGCACCATATATTTTGCACAATTATAATGATGTTGATTGAGAGCTTAGCTACTTAATAAGAGATTCTTACATTTAATGAGTCACGCAAGGGCCTAAAAGCTTCTGAAGGCAGCTCTTCAAAATCTCTCTGTACCTGGATTAGATAAATAGTAGACTAGAACTCAGAGAATTGATCATGATGCATTTAAACGATCTTTATTTCATTACCAAGGAACTCATACACAGATAACTTCAAATAACCAATATTCAGTAATCAACAATGACTAATCAAAGAAAGATACCTTGCTTCGTAGTGTTTGAGAGCAAAAGATCAAAGTTTCCAAATTGCTGGTGGGTTCGTGAAGCAAATTATCAGCAACCTAAGAGAATAAAGACCGTTAACTTCCCTAAATAAAGATGTGAATAATATTCATAAGGCTGCTGCAAAGGGCAGCAACTGCTAGTATCAAATGAAGAGTACTTATGACAGATCCTTAGTATGAGGATCAATGCTATATTGACTCTAACAAGATCAAATTTGAGGAGAAAAGGCAGCTAACAAAAATTTTGTAAATTATCAGCAACCTAAAAGAATAAAGACCGTTAACTTTCCTAAATAAAGATGTGACTAATATTCATAAGGCTGATGCAAAGGGGAGTGACTGCTCATATAGAATGAAGAGTACTTATGACAGATATTTAGTATGAGAACCAATGTTGTTTTGAATCAAACAAGATTAAATTTGAGGAGAACAGGCAGCTAACAAAAATTTGAGGTATTGGAGGATATAAAAATAAATATTCATGTCTGTCAAATATGATTCTATTAAAATGAATGAAGCAGAGATTTTGCTTTGTTACAGCCTACAAGGACTTTTCCTTCAACATCTTTAAAAGAAAATGCAAATCTCACCATTAAGATACACCCTTTACTAGTACATTTTAGTGGATCTACACTTGAAACCATACCCAAATGTGAACCTGTCCAAATCCAATCTAAGTTATTCCTGGAAATTCGTCCATGCTACAGTTGTTACTGAAAGCGAACAGCAATTGAATTCTTTCCTACCTCTATCCTCAATAATTAGGCTGAAACAATAAAGTGAATTGGATGCTTGGAAAGTGCAATTGCAATACATGTGCTTTGTTGCATGAGCTCCAGAAAATTGAAATTATAACATCCCCAATGGCATCTTTTATGGAATGACATACCACTGAATTCATTCTACGAGTTTTTTACCATTTTCAAGCGTGAAATCTGTTCATAATTCCTATTCAGAAATCGATCAAAATCTGTATGTCGAATTCCCAGTTCCCCCCCCCCCCCCCAAAAAAAAAA